CACACACACACACACACACACACACACACACACACACACACACACACAGACAGACAGACACACACACACACACACACGTTCAACAAATATTCTCTGTGAAACATTCATCTCTCAGTGAATTCTGAGACTCACACTGCAGAAAATTCAGAATCTCCTCAACTGGTCTGAAGCCACAGAGACCCTGGAAGCGTGTGAGGGCAATGGCCATCTCTGGTTTGTGGTTGTTATCTGGATAATGCTCCGGAAACTGAGCGTGGAGACTGGCAGCGAGCTCCTAACATAAAGCAGATCACAAAGAGAGGGAGGTGAATAAAGAAATTACACAGAGCATAAAAACACCTGTTTAGTTCATGAAAACAGGAAAACAATAATGCTGCTTAAACTGTACTGTGTGTTTTTGGGGAAAAGAAAGTTAAAACCCTTTGAATTCGAGCACATACGGTGTGTAAAAATTTACATAATCCCTGACTTTCTGCTTCATTACTGATAGACAAAACTAACATGGGTTGTTTTATTTTCATCAAAGGGATTCTTTCTATCCCAACATTGTACCTGTAATGTTACTAGATGAACAACTTTCCCTAAACCTTCCTATAAGACACTTTACCATATAGCCCATTAATTTAAACATTATTATTTTCTACCAGAGTAGAATGAGAGTGTTTAAGGACATTGACTTTACAGCTGTATTTTAACACAGCTGAATAAACGTTGCTAAACTCCTAAAATCCTTCCAGTTAGAATTTTATCAGCTCTGTTTAAACACAGAACATGTCACAATGACCTTACTGCACTCTGGAATAAAACAAACAAATTCTTTGTCAAGTATTACTTAACTCAGATGGAGTAGGCTGAATTTGAAGACTGACGGGATGGACGCTCACCTTGTTAGGGTGGGCCTGTATGGACAAAGCTGTGTTGACAGAAAGGACTTTGAAGAGGAACGGCAGCTGACCCTGGAAGGCGTCCTTCACCTTGGAGCCCAGGCAGGCTGGGTAGTGGGCGATCCACTGGCCCAGGGTGGTCTGTGCAATCCTGTTGTCTTTAATCTGGGCATCGCCTTTAGGGTGGGAACCCATCCACAACTGGAACAAACCGCATGACTTCCAGGTCACTTTTGACTGGTTTTTCAGTACCACTAATACTATTAAGAGTCCAAGTCCAGATCATAAAAAGAACAACTTTATTTCTGAAAACATTTAAATCGCTGAGATTTATGGATTAGTGGTCTGAGACAAATTCTTGCTATCAGTATAAGCATAAAGATGTCTAAGACTTGATGAGTTACTCTAACACCAGGTTCACAAGGCAAAATAATTATGCCGATTTTTGACCCGACTTTTTCCTTCCAACAATCTTAAGGATGCCCTGATTATAAGACTTTCCTGCCATGTGTGGTGTGTTTAGACTGATCTATTTGGCACTAAAGAACATCAGGTCCACTCCAATCTCAAATTGGGGATATTTAACATTGATTGTCTTGTCCCGATACCCCAGCGTGTGTGGTGTTCACAGCCTGTTGAATGTCATGTCTAGCCAATCAGAACACAAGTTGACTGGAACATGGAGGGGAATCCAAAATACACTAAAACAACTGCCACGGCACGCCAGAACGTCCAGATAACAAGTGGGCGATTAATGGTGCATTCCAGTAGCACTGGGAAGTGGAAATTTCCTTGCTCCCGTTCGTAAATCTAAACTGGAACGCCCCCTCCAGTGGTAAATCCCATTCATATACTGGGAGCGACTACCCCCACTTTTGATCTCAAGATGGTGGCTAATCGCAGCCGTAGAAAGTTAACTCTGTAGCTTTTACTGTTAATTATCATTCTTAAAGTTTTTGTGCATGTTTAATCACTCGTACAAGTTGTGTGTTTTCTGTGTATACTGTACGTATTAAAATCAGTGTTTATTTGCATGACGTACGTAGTGGATAGGGTTGAGCATAATCACATTGTGTGCAATTAATCGTCAGAAAAACATTAATTGATTATTTTGTGACACTTGACGATTAATATGATTAATGCCAACAGGGAGACTGACTGGAGGTTTCTCCAGTCAGTCCACTCGGTGCTCCTCCCTGCTTCAAATATGACGAACAACAACAAAAAAATAAAAGTTCTGTAATTTATTTATCTATCAACACAATTTAAAATTTGAAGTACAGCCTGAAGTTTGTAATTTTGACACAATTTAGAACAGATTTTTATGAAGAGCAAATCTTTCCCACTAAAATTGGTCATGTGACCAGGACATAAGGGTGTCCAGGGACTCCAGGGGATTACCCATCAAATTAATCGTTATCGGCTAAATATCCCAGTTAATCGTGTTAAATTTTTTTTTGCCAATATTGCCCAACCCTAGTAGTGGAGCTCTCTTTTTTGTCATTGTTTGTATCGTAACAGTGTTGTAACAAGTGGCAGCTATACAACTGCCTGTCGGCTAACTGGGATGCAGTTTAATACAGTTTGTTTGGAAATTACGTCACTACCACTTCCCATTTCCGGAATACACTGTAATCGGAACGCACCATTAATTTCAGCAAAGGTCATCTGAAGGTCACCTGATCTACAAGATCAATTTAACTTCTAATGGACCCTAACATGCTCAAATAGAGAAAAGTCAAATCTTTAATCCTTATCAAGTTCCCATTCCAATGACACCGAGTCTGTGAAAATTGTCCCAGTGTTCCTGAGATAACTGGGGTTGAAAATAGGCAGACGTGCCCATTTTTGCCCCCCAAAAACTCCATAACCATAATTTGTGTGCTCATATCTTTGGAGCCACTGGTGCGATTGACTTGAATTTTGAGATACTGTGAGATCACAATGACAAATATGCAAATCTGTCCACAATTTTACCACAATTATCTTCGATCTTTTAGTTTTTCCACACCCAGCTTTTGTATTTTGGCTTCATTTTAGTTCAATATAAATTAATGTGGTAGAATCTGTTTACATTTGAGGTTAGATTTGAATCATTTTAGAACATGTTTAAAGATCAGATCATTTTTATTTGGTTGATCTTGCATCAAAAGCCTCCATATCAGCATTTAGATAAGCACTAACACGATCCTGAACAACAATGTGGCTTGCAGGATATGTAAATGTCACCACAGTCACAACGTGAACTAATGACCTTCATGGCAAACCCTGCAGAGCAACTGGAAGCCAAATAAAGACAGAGAGAGAGTCCTTCAGCCACAGGCTCAGGAACAGAATCAGGAGCAGTTTCAGACAAGATTTAGTCAAAGAAAAATATGAATTTACATTTATTCATCTTGGATCCAGGTCAGGATCTAGATAAACATCAAGGGTTTCACACTTTTACAATAAACAATGATGTGAAATCCTAATTACGTTAACAGACTTAAAAACCAAAGCAACCATGTGATCAAGTTTGGTAAAAGAAAATTATACCAGTTTTGTTATGATTTATCATATCTTCTGAAATCTGAAAAAAAAAATCAATCACACTTAAATGTTAGTGATTCAGCCTGCCACATTTATTATATAACTATCTGACAAGTCCAAGTTTTATAGAAATAGTTTTGAAAAAGTCAGCATTAAAACAGCATCATGTATCACTCTGGATGTCATCTCTCACAGTTGTTGTTTTTTTTAACCAAATACATTCAACATCAACACATCTCTATATTTAAGTGGATATAATACACTTATGTTAATGTGACTTTTTAAAGTTCATTTGTGTTTACAAAATAAATTGGACATGGAAGTGCTTCTCTACAACATACAGTGGTTTGCAAAAGTATTCATACCCCTTGAACTTTTCCATATTTTGTCACATTACAACCACAAACATAAATATATTTTACTGGAATTTAATGTGAAAGACCAACACAAAGTGGTATACAATTGTGAAGTGGAAGCAAAATTTTACATGAATCAAAAC